AAATGTAATTTTTTTAATGCTCACTCGATTTTTGATTATGAAACTATTAAGTATTTTACTATTTTAGAATACTAATGAAATACGCCTACTTTTGATAAAACTTGCCGACAAACCTTGGTGCATTCTTTTAGAGGAGAGCCACTGAAAGTTGACCAATTTTGAAAATTTTAAATTTATAGTGCAACAAAGAGTTCTAATTCTTGAGAACTTGGGGCAATCGTCTCAGTATTTCTAATAGGATTCTAGAAATGGTATTTGCAATTGTGTATACAAAGTTTAAGTGAATAATAGCTATAAAAATTACCCACAATAACCGGAAAATTGACACAAATACCAATGCCCTAGATCACTTAAAAGCTCATAAGTTTCAAATAATGTGAAATAAAAATAATATTTTTTATCACAGTTATGATTAATACTATTGCCCCATTTTGGCTTAACTATTACCCATTTTGGCATCTTAATACGTCCAAACGTTTTGACGAATAAATGCGTAAATACTCAGTAGACTACAATTATATATCTCAACATAAAAAATATTACGAAAAATCTTTACACACACACCACATATATATATATATATATATATATATATATATACATATATATATATAGTTATTGGAATATTTCTGATAAATACCTGTTTCTCGAACCAGCTCGATTTCCCAGTGATCTGTAACAATAAAATACACTTCATTAGCTCTTTTGGATAATTATATATGTATGTTAATCAAAGAAATAGCTTAATCAACATTGCATGCCATTAATTATACCATATTATATAAAATATGATTAGGGGGTATATATGGATATGGAGTCATGTGCGTCAACACTTTATAACTTTCTCGTTCAATTAGAGTCGCCATACATATTTAAACGTGCGTTGAATGATGAGCAATATATCTCGAGTGAGTAATACAAAGTTATTCATATAACTTAGTATTCATAAAGTTTAATTCAAATTTGGTTAGATGGTAATTTAAATTATTATATATGGTGTAAGGGAAAAGCAAGATATAGGCTAGATCTGCGGGTGAAAGGATTCACCACAAATATCTCCAAAATCAGTAAAGTTAGAGATTTAACAACAATATTTGAAAGTAGAGGGCAAAAATGTATAACCAGCCATCGCCTCAAATCAAGCATTATCGCTATCAGGAGATGAACAGCCATGTTTAAAAATCTATAACAAAAGTGTTTTTTTTTCGTTGTTAGGTTTTTTGGTTGTGAGCACTGTTGTTTAGTTTACGAGACCTTAATATGATTTTTAAGTATACATTATTTAATTACTTCATAAGATGTATCGTCAATTTCAAGTTAGACTCAACAGATGTCTTTTTATAATCTCTATATTGTCTTACTTGTGGGTGAGGTAAAAAGGACTAACCGACCTTTATCCTGACAAAGACGTAAACGATAAAAACCAGTGAATAAAAACGTGATTTCAATTAAAATTTTTCAAGAGATAAATTAAATTAAGAGTTATTTCAACTCTGTTGATGAATATTTCTGATGAAATACCAGATCAAGGTTATATGCAATGTTAACTTTGTAAAAAATGTGCCCATGAAATTTATATTTTGCATTTATTATAGCTATTATTTCGTAAAATTCCCTCAAAATTAAAAATAAGACTAGGCGTGAACCTATTTGCCCCCTCGCTGTCTCATTTTACCATTACATTTTATTTTGTGGTTAAGAGGAACAGATGACTAATTTTACAAAAATAGTAAAAAAACATTTCTTTAACTAAGAAATATCTGGAAATTTTACTGAACATAGTACGATAGTTGTTTGTTTGATACATGTTATGTGTTGTGATATTGTGATGTAGTTCATTTGGTACTTATTTCAGAAATAATTTCAGAAATGCTAATCATAGATGAGCATATGTATGGAACACGTTCTGTGTTCTGCTACTGATTACAGCTGACGTGCACACTTAAATAAAATTCAGTTTTTGGACACGAAATACATTAAATTAAATGTGTTAAACAAACACAAAATATATGAAATTGAATGTGTTAAACAAATTAATTTTGATAGCATGTGTTAAAAAAATAAATTCAGAAATGCTAATCACATAGCTCGGCATAGATGAGCATATGTATGGAACATGTTCTGTGTTGCGCTACTGATTACAGCTGACGTCCACACTTAAATAAAATACATTTTCAGGACACGAAATAGATAAAATTAAATGTGTTAAACAAATACGAAATATATAAAATTAAACGTGTTAAACAAATTAATTTTGATAGCATCTGTTACAAAATAATTACAGAACATCTAATCTCATAGCTCATCATAGATGAGCCTATGTATAACACGCCCTGTATAACACGTTCCGCTACTGATTACAGCTGACGTCCAAACTTAAATAAAATACAAATAAAATCAAATGTGTTAAACAAATACGAAATATATGAAATTAAATGTGTTCAACAAATTAATTTTGATAGCATATGTTAAAAAAATAATTCCAGAAATTCTAATCATAGATAAAAGAAAATTCTAATCATATACTCTTCTTTTATCTATGCGTTCTGTGTTCCGCTACTGATTACAGCTGACGATCACACTTAAATAAAATACATTTTTAGAGCAAAAAATATATAAAAATAAAAGTGTTAAACTAAATCAATTCAGGCATATTTTTAAAATAAACAGTTGAACATTTTACCTAAACAGCTGAATCTCAATTCTTATTGATTAAGTTGATAACGTATCACGAATTCATACTACTTCTTTTAAGACGAAATGCCACTTACAACTAGTTTATGATTGATTTATTTACAACTGTTTTTGGTGTTTAATTAGGATAAAAATATAGAGATAATCAAATAGTGTCATCACTGAAAATAATTATAACAAAACACTTGAACAGCATATATGTTTAAAACAATTTATTGCAGAAACAATTTAGTTATAAGTATTTCAAACAACACTTAAAGCACTTTTCTTATTGTTTCTAATAATATGAGAAATCAGTCATTGCATTATCATCAGAAAGTCGAGGCCACATGTCTGCTTCGATTTTTTCCATATAAATTCCAAAATTCAGTCCATTTATTTTCAGTCGCCGAACAGGGAATCTCAGTGGACGCAACACTTCATATTCATAGGCATCTCGTCGTACTACATCATCTTCAATTATTTCCAGGACTCTTATAGATATTTTGGTTCCATTTATGAAAGCCACAATCGAACAATTTGGTGGTAACTCGTAGGTCAGGTAAAATTCCAGACATACCATTTGGTGCGATTGTCTCCATCTTTTTGGCACTAACTTTGGTAACATAGGAATCGTCATTTTGTTTTAAGTAATTATTTACTTTATTATTTTTAGTTTATTGTTATTAAGGTTCACTAGTGTTTAACTATGAATCAAAAACAAATGCCAGTTTTAAGCTCATAGAGTTTATGTCATAGTCTCGCCGGAAGGGTGGCTAGGATGGCCTGCTTTGCGCAGGGTGGGCAAATTGCGCAAGTTAAAAAAAAATGAAAATACTAAATTTCTAAAATCAATTTGTTAATGCCGTATTATTTTATTATTCGTACGTAAAATGTCTCCAGCAGCATAAGTTCAATCCTAGACAATAATAGAATATATTCACGTTTTTCTATTTTAATTTTTACGTTCAGAGTGCTGGGGGAGGAGTATCGTTTATATCCCTCGGCAACTTCACGCTCGTAAGGGGTTCAAATTATTGGCACAAAATTTGAAATAAATAATAATGAATTTTATTAATCGGTTATTTGATTATTTGTACGTAAAAAATGATCTCTCCAGCAGCATACGTTCAATCCTGGACAATAATATATAATATTCTCTTTTATCTGTTTTAATTTTTACGTCCAGAAGGTTGGGGGAGGAGTTTTGCTCATATCGGTAGGCAACTTCACGCTCGTATGGGGTTCAAATTATTGGCGCAAAATTTGAAATGGAAAATAATAAATTTTAATAATCGGTTTTTTGTAAGTAAATTCTGCATTAAAATTGTATTATGCATAGATAAAAGAAGAGTATATTATGTTCTGTAATAATACAATAATAACTAGAATATATTAAAAAGTAATATATTATAATAGATATATAAGGGGTTTAAATTATTGGCGCAAAGTTTGAAATGAATAATAATGAATTTTAATAATCGGTTCTTTGACGATAATTTTTGCCTTATAATCGTATTATGTTCTGTAATAATACAATAATAACTAGAATATACTAAAAAGTAATGTATTATAATAGATATATCATCATGGCTCGGCAACTTCGCGCTCGTAAGGTGTTCAAATTATTGGAGCAAAATTTGAAATGAAAAATAATGAATTTTAATAATCGGTTGTTTGAACGCGAATTTTGCATTAAAATTGTATTATGTTCTGAAATAATACAATAACAACTAAAATGTACTAAAAAGTAATATATTATAATAGATATACCATCAAATCGAAATATGCATCAATCACTAAAGAAGAATATATGATATCACAGATATGATATAAGAAATGCACTACCGGTTAAATATATGTACATTACACATAATTTACTGGAATAACGTTCTCTATTTTAACTTATTACTACAAATATTTAGTAAAATATAGTGAACAATACATTATAGTGCTTGTTCAAAGGATCAATCAATGGTTCAAGTCAAAATTCATGCCACTGTACTGGAATGCCTTCTTAGTTCAAATAAGAAAAAATTAGGATGACGAAGAAATAAATACTTAAAGATGATGCATTTGAAAAAAATTCAAAATTGTTCCTTCTTATTCTTAAAAGGAGCTTATAAATATATTTGAGTGCCATAGATCGTGGTAATTTATTAATAATAAAATATAAACAAGGTAACAAAATATATTTAATGCCACTCTAAGTTATCAGTTTCCATTTTGAAATTCCCGCTTATGAGAGCCATCTGCCGCCATGACGCTAAACAGAATTCAAACTAACGTCAAATCCAACGACCGATTTGTGTCTAAACAATTGACAGTTGACATATGACAGTTGCTGTAGTCATTAGTAATCAAAACAAAAACAAAATTAAAAAAATAACCGTTCATTACATCGGCGTACTACAAAATTAACAATGTAATAAATTAAATTATCAGTCAATCATATCAGATTCTCTACCGCATCAATGACAGGAGAGGCGGCAGACTTCAAACATGCAATACAAAACGTAGACGAGGATATTTCGAAATGTGAAGAGTTTTTATGCAAAGTACTAAACGCCAAAGTTAACACACCTTTACAATTTGCAGCTCTACAGAACGCATTGGATAATCACAGGTAATTAGTGCGTTGAAACATTTTTATTTCCACCTTTTGACAACTGTAATGCTGTAATGTGAGTACCAGATATACAAAAATGAACTTGCACTATAGAAGATTTAAATTTACATTTGCCTCAGAAAGAGCCTCTTAGATCTGCCATTTGCCATCAATTAATAATATCACATTCTTATCTGGGTTGGTTTCATAATTTATTTTCCTCGCAGGATTGATATTCAATCAGAAAAAGAATTCATAATCTTGACAGTAAACAACACTATCATCACAATAAGCCAAAAAAGTATTATTTTGTTGCATTAGTTTCCTTAGTAATCATTTCAGATTATATCAATTTGAGCTGAAGATATATTGAAATATTATATAGTTTCTATTTATTTTAATAGTGCATGCTAAATGTTAGTCACTGATTTTTCCTAAATTTATTTACATTAGACTAATGGCTTCCACGAGAGGAATGAATTCAACTACAGTTGCCAGGAATACGAAATCAGCTAAACTCACAACACCACCAGTTAAATTGAGTCGAAACATTGCTCCCAAAAATTTGGAGAATGAATTCAAGAATTTTATTAAGAGTAAAAAGACTGTTGATAAGGTTACTTCTAGAAGTAGAACAACCAGTTGTGGCAGTGAAAAATCTTTGAGACCTATCCCGCTAATTGAGGTTTATATTATTTATATTTATACACCCAAACAGATTCTTGAAAAAAAAATTGGAAAATCTCATAGATTTATCGACATTTACATTGTCATGATAAATTTGAACTTTCGATCAATTAGACATTCTAAATAGTTCACTTATAATTTTATAATATGAAATATTTTTCCCTAGACTGAAGAAGATCACTCGGAAGTTGCAAACTTGCATATGAAGCATGAACTCAAATTAAAAAAGTCATCATCACAAGGCTTACTTTCTAAGCGATCTTGGAGTCAATTGTTATCAGATAATCATAAATCTTCAACACTCAAAGTACAAAAATCTGATATTTTACCTGGAACTTTTAGTCAATTTGATCCCCTAAGAACCTTACACTTTTTGTCAAAAGAATTGCAAAGCAAATTGTATACCATTGCCCCAGGTGAGAAAAAATTATTAATATATGTAAAAAATATAAATTAATTATTATTTATTAATTAATAATATATGTAAAAATATATATTAATTGGATTTGCTTAACAGGATAATAAGCTTACAATTAGACTTTATCCTTAGTTAACATATGATTAGAGATAAATTCTTGGTTGTATGAATAATAATTTAAACTTCAATGGCCCTTGAGATTATAAAAGTCAAGAAAGCATTTCTGAAAAATCATCAAACATTAACTTACTGTTATATGTTTGCTGATTTTAATAGAAATCAATCAGTGATTAATCTAGAAATGCAGGAAAGTTAGTTTTTAATCTTCATCTTTTAAATTTATTTTTACTTATTCTTAAATGTTTGAATACACTATTTGTTGCAAACTTATTAATTATATATTTAAAAAAAATATTTAATTTACAGAAGAATCATCTATCCATCGAATCCTTGTGGAAATACAACATTCATTGCACAGGTTGCCAGTACCCTCAAAATCTGATATTTTATCCGGATCCTCATATTCTGATATAAGCGTAAGGATAGTTATTCTCTCACAATTGGTTTATATTCATAATATAGAAAAATTGACTCAGAAAGCTTTCCAGAATACCTACTATCAATTTGAACTTGAAGTATATCTATTTTCAACTTTCAAATTTAAACTTGACAATATATTTTCCAACAGACAACTGTCCACACCCAATATATACAAAGCAGTCAGACATGCCAGTTTACACAAACATCAGCTTTGGCTGTTGTTCATCAATCCTGCCAAACTGACGAGAGCTTACAAGTTCCAGAAAAAGATGAGGATTTAGAACTTCAATTGATGAAACTTGAATTAACTAATAAAGAACTCACAGAAGAATGTGCATTAGCAAAGAGTGAACGGGATAGAATGGCAGAAACATTGCAATACCATGAGTCTAACAATAATTTATTACTGGCTGAAATAGATGAACTTAAGGTAAACTGAATCATTTTTTATTGGATTAAATTTTTTGCTGTATTTTAAAATGCAATTACTAGTAATATTTATGTATATAATAACAATCAGTAGATTGTCATTTTATAAAACATCAATTTTTTGTCCAGAAGAAGTTAACAGTGAAAGATCAAATTTTACCCAGGACTGAACAAATTATTGAAGAACTGAAAAATAAAAATAAAACCCTGGAAGAAGAAAAGGCAGCACTAATTGCAGGGTACGAAGCAAAACTTTCCATAGCAGATGAAACCTTGGAGTACGTTAAAGATAATAAACGTGCTGAATACTCAAGTTATATGCAATATAAATTAGAACTTGATCAAAAAAATGTAGGTGTTAACTCTGTGGATCTACTATAGTTTATTTTATGAACTGATGATTAATTTTTTAGACTTTGATAAATACAAAGGAAAATCAATTGGATATATTAACTAACGAGCTAGCAAGGGTGCAGTGTATGGTGAGAAATAAAATGTGTGAACCACAAGCTGTTGCTTTGGTACATGAAAGTGAGGACAAAATATCAAAACTTTCAACAAATATTGGTGACATGAAAACAATAACAACAGCTTCTAGTTTATCTACATTACCAGAATCTGCTATGACAAAAAGTCCATCCACAAGGGTAATATAAAAAAATTACATGAAATAATATTAATGTTACTATTAGATTGCTCCAACTTATCCATTATTACAGACAAAATATCTTGATGACTATAAATCAAGAAGTGATATCAATGGTGGATCAACATTTTTATCCAGGAATTATGACTCAAAAAATCGATCTTCTTCTAGAATAATTAAATCACGAAATGAAAGCAGTCACTACAGTTTGAATAAAAGAAACTCTGAGCGAAAATATCGTCCAGGTTCACAAAGAAGTCCTGATTATAGTTTGCGATTGAAAGCAAGCATGGTTTGTTTATCAATACTATATATATATATATATATATATATATAGCTCAATACTAATTGTGTTATTGGGTTCTATTCACAGCGATCCAGTAAAACCATGGATGATTCAATAGAAAGCACGAAATGCAATCATGCCATAGCTGATATTTTCAACAAAATGCGAAGTGATGTAACTGGCTGCAACGTAACTCTTCCTTCACCACCTAGACATCATAAACATTTGCCTGATCTTTCGACATCACAAAGTCAATGGAGTGATTCCATGTGATATTGTTATTTTTATTTCCTCATGTCTTATAACACATTGTTGAATAATGAAAAATGTTTAATTGTAAAAAAAAATTGCTTAATTGAATATTCCTTGTGATCAATCGTGTCTTTTGTTTTTTAAAGAAATAATAATTTTACTGATAAATATATTGGAATCACTTAAAATGTGTACTCAATACATTTTATAATAAGTTAAGGTGTGTTGTAGCTATTTCTAAATAATTTTAAAATGTATATATATATATTTATTCAGTGTACAAATAAGTTTTAGGTGTAACATGTAAATATGAAAACAATTTTTATGTCTCAAATTATGTATGTAAATTTTAGCATTGCTAGTACAACTTTAGATTAATATATTAAATTCTGAAATGTATTGATTTTACTTTTTATTATTTGTTCAAACTTTAATTTTACCTAATTTATTTCTTAGTTATCACATACTTGTTGTATTGGTGAAGTATGGAAATATACTTCAATATAGCATAATAATTTCTATATATTATTCATTCTATACCATAAGGCATAATAATTATAATTATTATGCCTTTTTTACGCTGCAAAAAAAAATTGGAACTGAGGTATATCAACAAAATTATTAATACTATTCTAATAGTATTAATGAGTTATATTATTGTTTTTGCACCTTTTGTTGATATACCTTAGTTCAATTTTTTTGCAGCGAAAACAGTATACCGCCGATATCTCAGAAATAAGTGAAAGTTAAAAATTTTTTTTAACAAGAATATTTAAAAGTAGAGGAAAAAGGTGTATAACTAGCCATCACCTCGATTCTTATGACGTCGCTATCAGGAGATAAACGCCAATGTTTGGAAATATTCCAACTCTGCTAATGAATATTTTTGGCAAAGTACCAGATCAAGGTTATATACAGTGCTATCTCTGTAAAAATGAATTTACGAAATGTATAATTTGCATTGACTGAATAATGTAGCTATTATTTAGTAAAATCTCATTAAAATCAAAAATAATAAGTCTATTTGCCCCTGCTTTTTCCATTTCACCCCGCCTATGGGATAAAAAGAACCAGGTGACAAATTTTTGAACAACAGCGAAAAACGTTTTACGCTTCTTTGGGATGTTAAAAATTGTCTTCCAATAATTAATTTAGTCTAGTAAGATTGGTAGAGACATAGATAAGCAGATGGGTAGAGATTATGCATTTCCACCCTAGTTTTGCATTTTCTAATAAACTTAGATATACTTATGGCAAATGTATGATCTGTGTCATTGCTTGAAAAACGATGTGCTCATTGTAAGAATTGCATTATTATCAGAAATTCTTTGACACATTATCCTGACGTAAATTTCAGCTAGACGTAATCATTTAAGGAATTTACTGCTTTGTCTTGAATCGTCGAGAAAACAAAAGAAAGATTAGGAAACACAATGATGGCACGTAGTAGAATCACAATGGTATGTCTATGTAGCAACATATTCGCGTCGCGGCGCTAATTGGCAGAGATTGGCTCTGTGCATCCTACCAGAAAATTGTATTCCAACAACGAATCAGGGCGATTCCATGATTCCATGATTCCATGATTCCAGCCCCGTATCTCGTATCTCGCGAGCTTCCATTAGAATAAAAACGACATCGAAAAAACCTACAGTCGTTTTACTTCTCCCGACGTTTTTTTCTCCAACCAGCGAGTATTTTTTCCTTAGCTGCGCATTCTTTTTTCTTCTCGAAACTTGTTTTTACTCTTTTTGCCACGATATCGTTTTAGAGATGCACGGGAGTGCAGAACAAAAGAAATCTTTAAGAATGGGTTTTTATTTGTCAATGTCTTTGTTCTTTGGTCGCGGTACAAAATGCCTCGTGCTGAACGCAGATATGACAAAAAATCTATAAAGCCACTTTGAATTTAAACGAACGTTCAACGCTGGCAGTTGGTTTAATGTGAGATGCAGATATTTAAGATAATGTAATATATGCAGGAAATTTCATGGCTGCAAAGCATTGGTGCAGATAGATTTTTTTGAAACTGAAAATTGAAGCCTTGTGCTTGGAACTCACACGTTTTTTTAAAGGGTTATATACAGTTAGGATTTTTTAAAAATCGATTTTTTATTTTATTTTCTGTATGTACATATATCTAAGAATATAAACAGAAAATTTCATATCATCCCAGTGAATATTTTCGAAGTTGGCTCAATCATATGCCAAAAAAGATGAGCATCGCCAGAGATCACCCGAGAAGAAAGAATGGCTTGCAAACACCAGCTCTGGATATTAGAAGTTGCCGAATCGGTGGAGGATCTCTTATTACATGGACCAGGAATAGACTCCGTGTAAGTTGAAAAAAAAAAATGTATTCCATGTAACATGCTTTCCAAACTTAAACTGGTTTTTCTAGAAATTGTGTTTTCAAAGACCAACATGACTCGAAAATGGCTAAACAGATTAGTCTCAAATTTCAACCAAATTGTGTTTATGTAAGAATCCGCCTTTTTGTCAAAAAATATTATTTTGCTTATTCCTTCGATTAATCTAAATATATAATTACTTTAACAAAATCTTTTTGATCTTTTAATTTCAGATGATCTACATCAGAGATAGAAAGGTCACCGCAAAACGTGTTTTTTGAAAGGTGCTCCTGGAGCTCAGCTGCAGCTCTTTCTCAAGTAAATATTTTCACTTGTAATTATTTTTGTTATATATTTAAAAGGTGCCATAATATGTGTATATATATTTGTATTAATATATGTATTAGTTTTCCTAGAAAAAATTGTGGAAAATTCGCTTTCTTCGGCCTTCTAACTGTATATAATAACCCCTTTCGTAGGCTCTTTTCCAACTTATCCAGCTGTACCCTTTATATACAATTTTGGAAGGCATACATAAAGAACTAGTAGGGCGTATGTCATCGTGCATTAAGGCAAATTGCTGGAACTTCCCGTACCGTAACGAAATGTTCGAGGAATACTGAATGTTTTCAAATAGATTATTATTAATATTGTAACATTTACTAATATTTATAAGAATTATATAAATTGAATTGCAAAGTTGAAATTATTTGTTTAAAGTAAATTAGAACTATAATCAGAATTAAAAATTAAATCTGAATTATTTTCGATATACAAAAAGAAATTTTTTTGAAAAAAAAAAAAGTTGAAACAATTTTTTTCCAAAATCAATTATTTTGTTAAGACAAGCAGAAAGTTCTTTGAATCATTTGAATCGGACGCATAGTTTTCTCAAAAACTGCCATTCTTTACATATTTAGCTCCGTATCTTCGAAATGGCTGGGCCTGCCTTTTCCAAAAACTAATAAACACTTCTACCAATCATTACTAATTGAGTGTTTTTTAGAACATTCGAATCGGATGCTCCGTTCTCTCAAAAACTCGATTTCTATTTTCTGCACTCTTTGCTCTTTATCTCCGTAACTGCTGGACCAACCTTTGCCAAAAACTAATCAGCACATCTCCCTATCAATAGGAATCGAATGTTTTTTGAACCATTCAAATCGGTTGATCCGTGCGACGGAAAACGAGGACGAAAAATTGTATTCATACATATACATACACACACACATCCATTTTTTCTGAGGTATGCAAACATGTTCAGAAACCTTCAAAACGTGAAGAGATGTAGAAAAATTTAATTTCGATTTTCGGCCCATTACAATAACTTACCCTACGGGAATAATAAATATCCAATATACACTATTGCGTATCTTATTTCTCCAAATTAAAACTTGTGTAAAGAGGATGTTTTACCATAGGCTGCTCCTCCGGGGGAGAATGATGATATTTACGAAGAAGCGTGACTCCGCTCGTTCCGGCGCTCCGCGTTCTGCTCCTTTTAGGGCTCCGAGAAAATCAATAGAGATGATGGAGTGAGATGTTCCGGGATTAAGTCGGCGAGATTAATGGTGTTCGTAATGACGAATCCATTTGAGGCTCCCGGCCGATGGACCCGCGGCCTCGTTCTTATTTCGGCGGTACCGAGATTTACTCCAAGGGTATTGCAAGTGACTGACTGAAGGCTGGTTAGCACTGATCATTATATCGCAATTAGTCATTCCACGGTGACCGGATTGCCGTTTAGTCTCGACAGTTTATTAATGACAACAAACAGAGCTGTTGTTTACTCGATATATATTATCACCGAGAAGGACCAAGAAATACTTGAAGTCTTTGGAAGAATTTGCTTCTCCTTCAATTTGAGTTGAGTTTGAACAAAAATTGTCAATGATCATGGTTAACTCTGTAAATCTACTATAGTTTATTTTATGAACTGATGAATAATTTTTTAGACTTTTATAAATACGAAGGAAAATCAATTGGATATATTAACTAACGAGCTAGCAAGGGTGCAGTGTATGGTGAGAAATAAAATGTGTGAACCACAAGCTGTAGCATTGGTACATGAAAGTGAGGACAAAGTATCTAAACTTTCAACAAATACTGGTGACATGAAAACAATAACAACAGCTTTTAGTTTATCTACATTACCAGAATAAGATAGAAACATTGAATAATTTGTGATAGTAATATTCTGGTTATATCGAGATAGATACTATATCATCATTTTGAATAGGAAACCTCTGGTTTCAATATAGACTTAGCCAGCTTGATTACAATCAATTTTGATAACAAATTTTCACTTTAGATTATAAATCCACAGAATCTTTCAATGAATTACTGCAATTTGTATTCACATCACTATTACGAATATATCTATTTAATTTTATCAGAAATAGAATGGTCAACCCTTGGGTGGGTTACCTCGTATTAAATTCTTGATTAAGGATCTTTCCATATGTTGTTATTAGTCTATTAGGTCAACTAGTCCATATTTACATTGTGTGTGTTTGTGCAAATTTTCTTAATTTTTATAAAGTGTCTGGAAATGATAGTTCTTTTTTATGATTTATAAATGAGGATGCACCAGTAAATCACGAATCAAGTCCTTAACAGTCAAAAACTTTAAGACTTATCACAGCGCGCTCTGGTATGTGTCAAATCAAA